AGTGCGATGAACAAAAGGTCTCTGGCATTTACCATTCCAGAATAAAGGCAAGTTTTCAGTTTCGGTATCTAATGGCTGCTTCTCCCGTGGAAATGCACCGATTGACCCCAAACTCCCAAAGATGAAAGGAGTCCCCAATTGTAACCCCTCACTGTAACAGGAGAGCTTAGATCTGTGTACTTTCCAAAAAATAGCATAAACAAATATTTTTTTGCAGAAAATTCCCATTTTTAGAAAATTTTGGCTTGTTTGACCTTGAAAAAAAGGTCAAAAGTCAAATCAAAGGGCATATTTGAAATCTCCACATATGACTTTCGGTCAGACTTCTGTAGTAATTTTTCCCATAATTCCTTTGGTTTGGGAGATATTTAGCCTTGAATTTTCAAAAATTTTGACAAGGGTGCGTTTCAACAAGTGTCACGCCCAGGCCAATGCACCGACAGAGACAAAAAAACCAGGGTGTTCAAGTTGAGATTATATGTGACCTAAATCCAAGAGATGGGGACACAGGTCCTGGCAGTCTAGGAGGAGAAGTGGTAACGGTGACTTGTTTCCGGCGCCCGACTGCGGAGCCGCAGGAGCCGGCGGAGCCGCAGGAGCCAACGGAGCCGGTGGAGCCGGCGGAGCTGTACGAGACGGGTCGGGACTAAAACCATGAGTACCACCAGCGTATACGCTGGTGGTACTAATTATATCTGCAGAGAATTGTCTTTCGACAAAATTTTCAAGGCTGACAAAATTTTCAAGTTTTTATCATAATTTAAAAGAATCAACAATTTTAAAAAAATGAACAAAAAACACAAATGCACCCACACACACAGTAAGACAGAAAGTTCTTACCTTCAGGTAGTAAACCAGTAACTCATTCAGAGAAGGGTCAGCATTCAAGTTGACCAGGTAGTACTTGTTGTGTTCCACTTTGATACCTGATGTCTGTACTGAGATTCCCATCTTCTCCAACGCTGCATGACGCTCCTGGTAAGGTATAAAAATAACTTTAAATAATAACCTTAATCAACTAGCCAATCTGTTACGTTTAATAATAATAATAATAATAATAATAATAATAATTGTTTTGTATTTTTTTCACTGGGCACCATTACTCAGCCAACTTACATATTGCATCTTCAACCATGCACGCAAGAAATCAAAATTTCTTTTGAAAACATCAAAATAACTCCCTATGCTTTCTGTGTCAGGATTACAACTTCTCAATCACCTCTCGTACAAAAATGACAACAAAGAAGACCTAGTGTCCTCACCAGGTGGAATTCTGTTGGTCAGTGATAGATGACATACTAAATTAAACAAACCTATTTTCTAACCATCATTCACAGAATGGACATTTTATTTGAATCAATCAATCAACAAGAAAATGATAGTGATCAATATGTTTTGTCAAACAACAGAGGCCTGGGTGATTGTGATAGTTGTGACACGCAAGGAAGGCTGATTGTGATTGTGTTAGATAAGACTAAGGAACACAAGTGCACACACATATCCATTCAGAAACTTTTCCTCCCCTCCCCTCCACCTACAACCACTCTAAAAACACAAATTCAGGGTGTGCCGACAAGAACAGACACACATACATGTGTGCTATGCGTGTCACACACACACACACACACACACACACACACACACACACACACACACACACACACACACACACACACACACACACACACACACACACACACGGCATACACTTACAGTGTGTATTCTCTCTGTTTCAGACAGCTTCTCTTCCCAGGTCTTAGTGAGCTCCTTCACCAACATCTCAGACTCTTCTAACCTCTCCTTCAGATCAGGGGCCTGCATGCTCTGGAAGAAACAGAAAATATCCAAGTCATTTCAGCTCTCAAAACTCAACTAATCTTCACTTCTTTACTTTATATATGTTATTGGCAAGAATAAGTAAAGACATTATATTTGAAAATAATCACCCAAGGCTAAGGAAAATTTCATGACATCATAATAACATTGTGATTTTTTGATCAAGGTGAAATTTGCCAGTAATACACAAGGGCACAGAAATGAAAGTGAAAGTGAAAGTGAAAGTACCTGTGCCACTGAAAGCTGCTCCCTCAGAGAATCCACCTCACTTCGCAGCTCCCGGATGATCTTGGCATTCGGATCCTCATTGATGACAGCATGGTTGACGATACGCTTGGCACGATCAGCGTACCTCAGCGTAGATAATGTCTCCTCGTAGTTGTCGGCCGCCGGGCTGATGGTGGCAATCATAACAGTTTTGCTGTTGCCACCCAAGTTGTCCTTAAAGTCAAAAGTGCATTGCAAAGTATGGTTTTTGACATTCATGATCATTTAATTAATTTCACAAATAAAATAGTCCAAAAATTCATTATGCTGGGGTAGCGCTAGCAATTTTTTTTGCTAAGCCAAATCATCACTTTTTGTCAATTTGTTATCCAAATGGTGTTAATTTGACTAAAATTAGTCAAATCAAACCCTTTTTGTTTAGCCAATTTAAGTCAGTATTAGCATTTGGCTAAATTGGCGAATGTTAGCGCTACCCCAGATTATGGTTAAGAGAATCATGCAGCTATTCAGGGACTTATAAACCCAAAATTTGGTACAAATTGAAGTTTGTTTGACCCAATCTGTGCATTAAAATTTCCAGCCTACTGGTCTCTAGGACCGGCAGGTCTTGGGCATCTACCAGTCTGTAGTATAATTATCTAGTCCAAAAACCCTACCTATACAAAACATATATATTATCTAACACAACCCTTTAAAGCTTAAAACAATCATATGGATCTGACCAGGAACTCTAAAAATATACTGTCATTATTTACATCAAATTTAGTGATTGGGGGGCCCAGAGGAGGACGACTGTGCCCAAATATTTTCCAATTTTTTTTTCTCAACCTACCTTGAGAAGCCATGTTAGAGTGGAGTCCCTGTACTGCACAAAGTTAGTTTTACTTTTGCCTGCCGCTTGGTCTGCCAAACTAGAGATAACTAGGCCCAATGTGGTTAGAGATCTGAAAGGAAAGATACATTAGAAAGCTACTGGTTTAGAGAGGTGTATGTCGTCTAATTGGGTATGTACCACCAGCAACATTTATGAATAAGTGGGACACGAAAACACATCAGAATTTTATAAGGTCATGCCATGTATTTAAATAATAAAATTTTAAAATTTCTTTAAATGGCAATTTTTGAAAGTTTCGAAAGATAACATTGGAAAAATTTTTCTACAGAGATCAATTTTTTTGAAGACAGCTTGAAGAAAATAAATTTTCAGAATCAAGCATATCAACAATAAAAAAATCCCACAGTTTTATCTTACTTGTTAATATTACTGCCTTCTTTCAGCCGCTCCCCCACGGCGCCTGTCTTCTGAGCACGCTCACTTCCCGCCAAGTCCACCAGACTGATCTTACTGACCTTTTCTCCGCTGACCTGTCAACAACAATGATGTCATGTGTTAAGTGATGTCATTAACTGAGTGTGATGTCATATACTGAGTGTGATACCATATATTAAGAGTGATCTCAATTGTTTAAATTGAAGAATTTAGGCAAAATCTCCATGAAAATGTATATTCAGCTGAGCAGTACAGAATATGTTCTGTTAAAAATTGAAAGAAAATCAAAATATTAATCTTTTGAGGATAAATTATGGTAGTATACAAAAAGATAACAACATGATGGTTTTATTGCATAGCTTAAAGGGATAATAACTCTTCGTTTTGGCCAAAAAATGAATTTTCCTGGAGTAAACAACAATTTTCCCATACTTACCAATGGTTAATGAATCCATTTTTACATTCAAAGTTAGTCCCTGGTTTTTTTCTAAAAAGTATGGTTTTTTGTTAAAATCTCTTAAGAGATTTTAACAGAGTATAGCCATCAATGGCAGTCACGTGGTCTAAAGACAAGCTCAGATATCAGAAAAAATAGTTATAACTGCCGTTTTTGTGGTAAAACAGAATATATTATATATCTATGAGTTATTCACAATGAATTTATTGTGAAATATAGATCTCATACGAAGAGTTATTATCCCTTTAATTACTACTATCTGATGAAGGCAGTAGTCTTGTGATAGTGTATATTTGAAAATTTCTCTCTCTCTCTCCACACATGCACACACAGACAACCTTCCATGCTAAAACACCCATATCCTTAACTAATGACTTAACCAGTAACCACTTCTTTTCCATATTAACTATGTTCTAGTCTGTTGGTCTGTTCCCGTCACAAACTCTTGAACCTCCATATCAACAATAAATAACCCCATTTCCACACTATTTCACCCAGGAAGCAAGTTTTCACCCAGTTCACCAGATAGGGTTAATCAAATCCCCTCTCTCGCCTGGGGCTAGATGTGGGGCTTTAACACAGAGACAATTACTGTGACCTCTGACCTCAGACACAATGACCTCTGACCTTAAACACAATGAAGGCGTAATTACCTGTCTTCTACCTGAACTAATTACTGTTATCACTATCCTCTAGTCACTGCAGTAATGGGGTGCCTTTCTGGTCTTTTCAATTTTTTATAGAGTTTGAAATATTCAAGACAATTTAGGGTTACTTTTGTAGTTTTCTGATAATTTCATGGAGTTAGAAATAATCAAAAGAATATCCATCACGTTTCTTTAGGGATTTCTTATTTTACAAAATTTGATACGTTTATTGGTATATCAGGTTCTTTTTTGAAGTTTTCATTATTTTGCACAGTGTATATTATACAGTGTGGTAGCTATAGCAGAGCACCCATAAGTCTTTCAGTATTTTTCATATAAAATATTAATAGCATATTTATGCACTAGAATATATTTTGTTCTTCCTATCGTTCTGCAGAATTGTGAAATATTCAGTGCAAAACTAAGGCGTATTTCTACTCTTCATTGTAATGCAAGGTTTCATTGCACAATTTTTAAGGATGCACATTTCCTGATAAGCCCAATCTTATTTGAGCAGCATTAATATTATGTTTGAAAGGGAATGTCTTCTACCATAACTGATTTCTAGTCAGTCTTTTAATCTTACAGATCAGACTGGTAAATCCAAAATACTATCATAAGCAGCCACCCTTTTTCTTCCAACCTCATTTACATCTTTATTTCTAATCTATTCAACACTTTCATTGTGTACTTCCTTTCAACAGACCAAATTTCTCTTCACCCCCCCCCTCCCCCTTAAATGTACCAGTCTCAATGGTAAACAAGGTGGGTCAAAGGTCATTTCCATTCAGTGTTTGGAAACTTGAGGTGGTGCTAATGAGATGATAATGCTATGCTAATGATATGCTTATTAGATAAGGTGAGTCAGCCACAGGGACACATGTTGCAGGGGTAGTGTAGTGTTCTCTCTCAGCAACCAGAGTAGGCTGGGGAAAATTAGGACTTAAACCTTCTCATTCCTTGCTCAGTTTAGCATTGCTCACACTTTGCCCTGGAGACTTTACTTACAAGGTGAGTAATTGTTAGCTTAAGTATTGAAATGTCTCAGTTGAAGTGGAGTTTGTGTGAATGGTGTCTGAAGCTGCAAAATGGTAACTTTCTCGAGAACAGGGTCAGAAGGTTAAAGCAGAGGTTAGGGACCCAAGATTTCAAGGCCCAGCCTCTACCTCCCATCTGATTTCATATACACTGAATGAAGATGAAGTGTTATTCAGAAACCTCTGACTTGATGGCATCTCTTCAATATTCATATATTTTACACAAAGAGGTGAAATTAAAACAAACACTAGTAGCTGTACATGTGTACTGGTACTTCACAACACATTCAGAATTTCAGTTGGTATCAACTCAGCATTTGTGTACATTTACACCTACTAGGTTAATCTACCTATGACATGAGGTAAAAAAATTTCAGTCAGAAACTTTAGAGCGATCTCCATATATATATTAACAGATATGTCACAGACACAAACTAGTAAATGTACGAGTTTAACTGAGAATTCAGTAGGAGACTTTTTAACTGAGAATAAACTAAAGACTTCATCCATTGAAGTTGTTCCACAAATCAGTTTTAACTCTATGCCTGATAATATTCAACAACAGGCTTCAATTTTCTAACACGGGTTGAAAAGTTCACAGCACCCAACTCCAACGCACATATATAAAAGCCACTGGTTACATTAAGCTACTTGTACTTGCGTTAAGTGTTAAAACCGTAGATCAACTCGGCTTGTATGAAGTCATGTCAGAGCAAACATGTTGGCTTTTGAATATAATGGACAATAATGGACGGGGGTGGACAGGACCATAGGGTCAACATTATATAGATGGTTGAACAAGTTAAGACTTGAAGAGTGATACAGGTCCACTGCATTGTTGAGCGACTTCTCAACTATTCACGTTTTGTAGTACTCTTCAACAAGGACAAGTGTCTCTTTGTAAAAATTTGACCAACTACAAAAAAGAGCAACTCCCGACTTTCCTGATTGATTGATTGAGAGGATAATATAGCACTTGATAAAGAACACTTGCAGGTACGAGAGTTAGTTGCAAATATGTGAAGTTCTTTAATTCACTCGTTATCATCATCCTATTTTTTAATCTCAGTCTTTCAAACATTTAAATTTTTTATCAGCATGATCAAAAGTTAGGTATGTAAAATCCCTTGTAAAAAAGACCAAACATATTTGAGAAATATTCAAAACCGTTCACCCACAACGATTTGTATGTTGGCAATTTCCGTTTTCCTCAAATCAGTAAAGGTTAATAAGATTAGCCGTTTCCACCTTTCTTCTCTTTTCAGTAATAGGGTCACATTCCTCCATTTTGGAGATTATTGAAGCGTTTTACATTTGCAAAAATCTGGTCTTCCTTTGCGTACACCTTAATAAAAACACTCTCTTTGGGAGAGAAGACTGTGCATTAACTTTTTTCTTTGCCTTTTATCTTCTACTTTTCATTTGAACCAGGCCCATTAACTTTTTCTTTGCTTTTTATCTTCAACTTTTCATCTGAACCAGGCTCACTTAACAACAGATCCAGTACACCTAGTCTGAACATGACTGTTTAAAAGTGAAGGGGAAACCAGTTTAACATATAATGTCAACTATTTGGCAGCGCGACTGAGTTAGGTGACACAGTGACAGATAAGGAATTCTTGAAATTGTTTTGGCGTTACTGAAATGGCAAATGTTCAATAGTCATCATAATAAAGCAGTAAATACTGTGGCATTATGTCGCATGTTTGTTTTACTGTCCCAATAACTTACTTATCGTAGAGAAAATCTGGCTCCATTATTTCATGCAGAGACAACATCTTCACAACTAAATGCAATCAAGTGTTCTTTATTTTTGGTTTTTATAAGTTTCTAAAATGGTAACTATTTTGGACTGCTTCTATCAGAGCTAACTTACAACAGAGTTTTTTTTCTTCGTGTGACTATCCGTGAACAGACACAACAGACGAGGAGGACTGGTAGACGGCTTTATCATTCCAAGAAGTTATAATGAGAAGGAGTAGAAACGGGACATCAATTATCTCTCTCGTCCAATCAGATCGCAGCATTCTTTTCAAAGCGGCGTCCTTTGAAATTCGATCCTCGTAACTGGTCTAATCCTCCACTCGCCTCCGCGTGACTCAAGACGGAGAAGCTGAACCAGTGCGTATACGTCTTGATTTATTCATATTTAATGCGAATATTTGGAAGTTATACTTAGAAAAACGCCAAGTCGAGCGATATAAAGGTGAGTGAGAGTTGATAATCTGCTTTGAGCATTGTTTTATGTTCATACGGTGGCTGTCAGTCAAATTTGTCAGTGCAGAAAGCAGCGTTAGTTCGAAGATCTGAGGCCGATTCAGCGGGACCTCCATGTTTAGGACTTTTTTCTTCTTAAGTGCGTGATGTATGCACATAATTTATGTTTTTCTGGTTAGTTAAGCACGTGCATCATTACAATACATCCCTTTAGTATTAAATGAGTCAATCCTTTAGATGAAAAACATCGTTTCAAATAGACAACTTTTCATCCGACTTTTTCAAAATGGCGGGTCCCTAAATTGGTTAGAGACAGTTGGGTGACAGTTTGGGACAATTTTTGCTAATTTTAACGTGGTGTAAGCACATAATTTATGTTTTTCTGGTTAGTTAAGCACGTGCACCATTACAATATAACATTGTGATATTAAATGAATCAATCCTTTAGATGAAAAACATCATTTCAAATAAACAACTTTTCATGGGACTTTTTCAAAATGGTGGGTCCAAAATTTGATGACAGGGAACTCTCGGAATTTTTTTCAATTTTTTATTGCAATATGATGTTTGCAGAGTTTCGTTTAGGATATAGAGTTATATTTTGTAATGAATTCCGCACTTACTCATTTCAGGTTGAAGAGAATGCAGGTGAAAGATCTTTAGTTTTGCTGGCAGATGTACATGTAGCCATAATTGAACAGTCAAAATGATTGTTTCCAGCAGCAACTTGATGAGGCACAAGGCTCTGTTTTCTTACCACCACTAATATTAAACTATAGTGCACAAGAGGTGCAAGTTTTAAAAGGGAATTTAGTGGTCCAAGTTTTAAAAGGGAATTTAGTGTTCACTGGCTAATTGTCTAAAGTATAAAATAAAATAATCACCACATCAAAATAAAAACTAACCATTTTTGTATTGCTTTAATCACTGTTGGGTGTAACAATATTGATATATTTTCATTGCTGGTACTTTGTTTTAGATAATATACAAGTTGCTCGAATGTTGAAATAAAGCAATATCAATCAATAAAAATATTTCTTTGTTTTTTTCTTCTAATGAATTTAAACTATCAGTCTACTATTAGTTGGCCTCATGTAATAGACAAAGATATAAACAAAAATATGTATTGATGAAATTTCATTTAGAATCATACTAAGTGCAATAACTTATTTACATTTCCCCAATTTTCCTGTTTAAGCTCTACCTGGTATATAAGCAATAATGTGCCAAAAAAGAAAGAAACGAGGCTGGCATACGGAAATTGCAAGTACTACTGTTTTGTGTACACGGCTGTGAATTGAATGTGTCATTCCTAAATGAAGGTAAATTTCCTTTACACGCCTTTACACGACAAAAATAATTTAAAATAAATATGAGACTTCTACAGGTGCAAATTTTAGCGTTGAAGGTGGGTTTGTGAAATTGTTCTCATACATTCTTGATGTGAAACTAAATTTTGTATAACTGATCGGCTCTAGATCAAATGAAGGTGTATCTTGCATAATTTGAGTTTTATTTCCCGAAATGGTTGCATCCAGGCTTGAAATCTCTCTCTACACCTTTCTGTAATCCCACCATGTTTTCTCTGTGAGATTATTAGAGACTTCGCGAGGCTTTATCCCAATTGGCTGAAGCAACCCACGTGAATGGTCTTTTGAATATGTATTAGGCACAAGCTCTCCCTAAGACCACAAGCTGGGTAATTATTAGGATTAAGCCCGTTACGAGGATAGGATGAAAGGAAACCCCTTGTTTCTACTCCTTCTCATTATAACTTCTTGATCATTCAAATCATCTTGTTGTTACCTCAGCTGGCTTTTCATCATACTAGATGTAGATGCGTGATTATTTTGATTGCTACAGATCAAGCAGCAGCCTCTTTCAGAAAAAGACATTAAAATTGCATTAGAAATTGGAAGTCAAAGCTGGGTTTGCTCCCAAAACCTTGTCGTATCATTTTTGGCATTCCTGGCATGGTTCATGTTAAGCATATTTAAATCATGACTGTGTGTTTATAATCATCTATGAGGCGTGACATTTGATGCCTGATGACCTGATAAGTGCTGATATGTCTTTGTGTATAAACATGGAAAATGTGGCTTTTGTGTGTGTATGAGAGAGAGAGAGAGAGAGAGAGAGAGAGAGAGAGAGAGAGAGAGAGAGAGAGAGAGAGAGAAAGAGAGACAGAGATGGTTAATCAAAATTTCATAACCACTAGAAAGAAAAAGTCCATATCTCCAGTGAATGTATAAAGTAATCAAAGATGGGAGTACGAGAAGAATAGGGGGGTCTACTAACTTCCTGTGCCTGCTCCTCTCATCTTTTACTTGGTGCTTTTAGAACTGTTCTCAGTGTTGTAAAGATTTGTTTTGACAGGTATTACAGAGGCATGAGATAATATCCTACTTGTTGATATGTGGGAACTACTGCACATCAGTTTCTTATGGGAAGAAATATTGTAATAACAACAGCCGCTGATATAAAATATACAAACCCAGCTGCTTGAAGTGTGTGTGTACGTGTTAGTGTACCTTTACACCCCTCTCTCTTGCTCATTCTCTCTCTCTCTTTTTCCCTCTCTTGCTCATTCTCTCTCTCTCTCTCTCTCTCTCTCTCTCTCTCTCTCTCTGTGTGTGTGTGTGTGTGTGTGTGTGTGTGTGTGTGTGTGTGTGTGTGTGTATGTGGGCGTGTGTGTATAAGGGGGATAAGCAGGCACATGTATATTCGATTGCCTACACATAAAGAAAAACTCACAGA